GCAGCGGTTAATTCCACATCCCATGGTCCCAGCGGTTATTTCTACATCCCAGCGGTTATTTCAACATCCCAGCGGTTATCTCCACATCCCAGCGGTTATTTCAAAATCCCAGCGGTTATCTCCACATCTCAGCGGTTATTTCAACATCCCAGCGGTTATCTCAGTATCCCAGCGGTTAGATAACCGACGTAATGTGTTGCAAACTGCCCCATCGGTTATAAACCGACGTAGGGTTGTCCAGGTATGGTGATGAGAAGTGGTCGGCTCTGTTGGGCTCGTGGTTGGTGGCAGCGGGGTGCCTCAGGTATCGCCACTTGCAGGTTGCAGAGCCTCGGCGTATTTCCACTACAGCTTTTCATGGGCACTGTCGGCGGGGGAAGCAGGCCCACCTGCGGATCACCGGGTTCGACTTCGCTATCTGTGCCCGCTTTTCGTCGGGTTGGTCTTGGACTGAGGCCTGGCTTCGAGATTGGCGGGCCCTCTCCCCGGTGTCGATGACGTGATCGTGGGCGAGCGGACCACTATCTTCCAGGCCCCGGTGACGACCGAGACGCTGCGCCGTTCCCTGGCGCTTACACGGACCTGGTGGTACCGGGCTGCGAAGACAAGGGCGAAGTCCACCAAGGAACAAGATGGGAAGATGCCGGCCACCCTCAACGGCAAGGTGCTCACGGCTTTCTTGAAGAACGGGCAGTCCCTTTGTGCGGGCTTTCAGCTTGGACGGTGCCGCCTGGAGCAGGGGGACTGTGCGAGTGCGCACCGGTGCGCGGTGGCCCTTCGGAGCGGGCGTGCTTGCGGTGGCAATCATCCGGCCGAGATTTGCTACGACAAGAGGGCCTTGTTGGCACAGATGGGGGGGAACCGGCCAGGCCATTCTGCCACAGCGGAGGCCAGCAGCTGTTCCGCAAGGTGAAGGCTCGGCCGAAAGCGGCGACAAGGCAGCCCGAGCGCACCGGCGATGGAGAGGCTTCGGGGCGTGACCCCGTGGTGCTTCGGGCGGCGAGCCCGGCAGCTTCTGGTGGTGCCGGAGGAGGCGAGGAGGCCCGTGCGAGGGAGAGCTGGCACAACTACTACCTCGCAACTGCCAGCGGCAGGACAGCCGAGGCTCCCACCGTTATTTGGCAGTCAGGCTCGGGAGGGCGGCTCTTCCTGTCCGGCCTCCCGACGTCGGCGACAGCCCAGCACTTCCCCAAGGTGTCGTTACAGGTGACTTGTTACATGTTTCGACAAAACGCCAGAGCAGAGGCGGCATCCTCTTGCCTGGCGCGTTGGGGCTCAGGTTGGACCTCAAGAGCAAAGACCGCGAGGAAGCATTTTTGCACGCATTCGAGCTGACCAAGAACTCCCTATGGTCAGGGGAACACGTTCTCTTCCACTGTATGGCTGGAAGACACCGAGCGGCAACCTATGCCGGCTTGACTCGTTCCCTCCTCGCGTTTGAGAGTCTCCCAGACGCTCTCGAGTTCCTCAAGTCTGTTCGCGACGTCGAGCCGGAGAAGGTCTTGAGCGAGCGCGGCGTGCGGGACTTCGTGTATCGAATGCGCCGCACTATTTCTATTGGGCGCACGGCCCCGACACCCACGGCCTACCGGCGACAGCGAGCTCCAATGTCCACGTGGCAGCCCGTCCCTCTGTGCAAGCACAACCAGTCGACGTCCAAGGCGCTGCGGCTGAAAGATGCATGGTCCACTTCAGATCGGGAGGAAGCCGTGGGTTGGGACATCCGCTTCTGCAAGGCCTGCCTCAGATTATCCCCAGCCTCGTGGCATCCGCGGTGATTGGGGGAGCGACCCCCCTTTGGGTACAGCGTCAAGATGGCGCTGGCCTGGCTCGATTTTGTGGGCTCCATAGGCAGCCCGCCGGCTAAGAGCAGCGGCTAGACCAGGGCCGCAACCAATGACATGCATGGGCCACGAAAAATGGCAGCCGTGCGAACATTGCACCATTATCCTAGCCCACGGTTACGTGGGTGAGCCGGGCGGGCCGGGCGTTACCCGAGGTTCCGCGTTGTCTAGGGCGGGGCAATTGCATGAGGGACAGGCTGTTAGGGCCAGGGTCATGCGAGTGTTGCTGCAGTGCTGCCCTCTCTTCTCTCCCTCTCGCTCTCTCGATTTTTGCTGTGCTCTGTCTGATGCGGCCGCGCGCCAGGTCCGCAGCTACTCAGCGCAAGCCGGGCGTGGTCGCCGCCATGGCCGCACCCTCGTCAGTCACGCTAGTCCCGCGGGACGGGACGGATATCGCAACCACGTTGCAAGCCTTGGGCCTGAACTTCGGCCTGGACGATAAGATCGTGCAAGCCCTCCTTGCCACCAAGGTGCAGAACTTGGAGGAAGTAAGGTACTTCTTCGCTGACGAGGCGGCCGTGGACCCGTGGCTCAAGAAGACTGCCCTCGGCGAGGATCACAATGTTCAGGCGGCCCGGCTTCGCCGGTGTTGGGCTGCAATCCGCCTTTACTTCAGCCAGTCTGAGGCCGACAGGTCGAAGGTTGCTTTGGCCGACTTGGATTGTATGCTGGGGGAGGGCGAGCTTCGGGATTTGAAGACCAACTTTTGGCGGCGGTACCGCCAGCGTTACCCCCCTGAAGTACACCCTTCCGATGCCACCATCTCTCGCGTGAGCCGGGAAATGGGGAAGCGCATGTTATGCATCTTTTCGGTGTGGAAGGTGAAGAGCTTGCAGCATCAGTTGCTCTCGTCGGTCAAGAAACGAAAGCTTGCCCCCGATCTTTACACCGAGGATGATGATCCGGAAGAGGCGGGACCTCGCGACGCGGACTCCTCCTTGGATAGGCTCTTCACGCTTTGCCGGGCGTACGCTATGGCAGGTACTATGGCAGTTCCGGCCGCTCCGGCGGCGATCGACGAGGCCAGCCTCGGGGCAGATTCGACCTTGTTCGTGGCGGTCCCAGTGGGGTTTCGTGCCAAGAGGACCGCCGCCCTGGTGCCCACGACTCACAGGTTGTCTTGGCTTCAGGCTCGCGACCAGGAGGAGCGCGCCGAATGGGTGGCTCGCTTCCGGGACTCGCAGAAAACCCTCGGGCAGGTCATCAAGGAGGTCTACGTTGCCCGTGACCCGCATTGGATTCCCTTGTCTTCGAGCACCTCGGTGGGCAGTCCCAGTCAGCAGCATGCTCCGATGCCCCCTCCGAAGGCTGAGTCTCTCTTCCAGATTTTGGGCACAATTGCAGGAAAGAAAGTGGCGTCGTGCATGAAGGACGGCAAGCAGCTTTGTCGCGAATTCCAGCGGGGCAAGTGCAATAAGAAGGACTGCACTTCGGGCGCGCACCTATGCGGCGTGGTGCTTAGGCAGGAGCGGGTGTGCGGGGGCCAGCACACCCCGGCTCAGTGCAAAAACAAGGTGAAGCCTTGAAGGGGGCCCCGGGCTCGACGAGGCAGGGTCGGGCCTTGGGGATGTCGCTTCTTCGCCTGCCGCCGACGATGCTGGTCAGCGAGTGTGCCTGTCCCCATCCATTGTGGATCTGGTGCCGGACCCCGACAACCTGCTGTGCACAGCCTTCATGTGGTGTGGTTGGCACGTTCTCCCGACCTCTGGGCTGCCGTCGGCCCCGGGGACCCTGGACGGTTCGACGCCCTTGCCGCTGACATCGTATCTGCCGACCTTCTGTTCGTATCCCTGGACAAGGCGGCCAAATCGCGAGCAGGGGAAGTGCCGGAGTTTTTCGACGATGGCCGAGCTGGCCCATACCTACTCTGCGACGGCGGCCCCGCCCCCACGCTCCTGGAGCAGCTCAACCTGGTGCAGGATCCATGCCATGGCTGCATCCTGGGTACTATCGGCCGCTGCCTTGGAGGCGCCACTCTTGGGCCGGGCCACCGGGTCCCTCCCGGTGGCCTCAGTTCCCGCGTTGGCAAGCGCCAGCCGTTAAACAGCTTGCGTCGGCTGGGGTTTGGCAAGACACACCATACTCGTCGTGCGTTTTCGCCGAGGCGAGATGCCGATGGCAGCGACTTCGCCGCAACATCGACGAGATTGCGTCCGGGCCACCGCTGTTGTGCCAGCACTTTCATGATCCCTCGAAGTGGGAGCCGTACTGGGTCGGAGGCGAGCTTCGGTTCCCGAGCCAAGAAGAGGCGCAAGTCACAGCCCGTTGGCCTTCTTCATTGCTGTTGCTGCTTCTTGGTGGGCAGCCCGGCGAGGTTTAGCCGTGGTCCGCATACACAGGCTACCGTCAGTGGAGACGACTGGGCAGGAGGGAGCATTGGCTGCAGATCGACCCCGTGGCGTGCGGTTGGGGGCGATGGCACCTCTGGCCGTCTCGCAGGGACTTCGGCCTTGGCAAGTTGCCGGCGTGTCGTGACCAAGGGCTTGGTGCCGGCGGGTTGCGTCTACGTCGGACAGGGCAACTACCAGCACAGGCTTCCCACCTCCAAGTGGCGCAACCCCTGGGTCGCAGGCCACACTTGCGACCCAGGGCAGACTTTGGCACGGTATTCAGACTTTGTGGTGGCCGAACTGTGGCATGACCGTGCGAGGCTGACGTGTTGGCGGGGCTCCTTTTCATTCGCCTTGGGGGAGGCACTCTGCCTCACCATCCGCCGACCAGCTCCGAGGCAAGAGCAGCGTGGGACACAGCCGGCTCGGTTAGGCAGGCGGTACCTGTCCCATTCCAGCAAGAGGCGGTAATCCTTCGCTTTCGTAAGCTCGGCGGGGAAGAGTGGTTTCAGGGCTTTCGGTTTCCCATGTCTCAACCAGGCCCCCTTCGACACCTTTGGCAGGTGGCTTGCCGCGCGTTGAGATGAGTGGGAGGGACCCCTCGTTCCAATCGCGGCCGAGCGGCAGCAGCGTTTTCGGCAGCGCACGGCCGATGGCTTACAGGTCGGGGCTTCCACGCATCGGGCAGCCCTGCCCCCGCTCTTGCCGTTTGGCCTCTCAGTGGACGAGCACTTTGAGCAATCGCTTCACCTGGGCACCCAGCCGCTTCAAACAGAGTTGCACCCTGTGCTCGACGCCGACCTTCTTTTCGCGGCCGAGATCCATGCGAAACACAAGGGTTCCCTACGGCCCATGCGCCAGCGCGCGGTGGGGGCACTCAAGGAGCTGAAGCGGAGATGGGAACCGGTGGGTGCGCGACTGCGAGCCAGGCAGCCGCAGGCGCTGCGATGAGCCACGCACCAGCGCGACCTTGGCCTCACAGCCTTGCTCATCATCCTCAGTAGTTGGGGGGACGTGATCTACGCGCATGGGCTGGTCAAGGGTCTTCCGGCGGTGGGGTTCGCACCGCCCTACGGGGTGTTCCCAACCCAGGATGCCGAACCGATCTCCCTCGAGGACGTGCTGGGAGATTGGCAGACGCACAACACCGAGACGATCCGGCGGTTGAGGCCAGGCCGCTTGGACCAAGTGCTGCTTGAGCAATCCATAGCAGATGCAGCCCAGGGCTTCTGTTCCGAACCGCTGTCCCAGGCGGGTGTACAAAGGCTGTTGAGAGGACAGCCGTTCAGGGTGATACCCCGCTGCGTAAGTATGCAGGGGTCAGGAAAACATCGAATTATCGACAACGCAGCTGAAGGGGGTCAATCGGCGACGTCGGCCGACTCAAACAAGCTCGTGCTTTGCTCTCCTCTCAGGCCGGCTCAGCACGTGCGGGCCACCATTAGCCACATGTCCGAGGCGGAACTCGCGATTGCTAAGGCCGAGGACTCCTGGCACACAGGAGGAGAAGACGGGCCGAATGCGTGGTGTGTTTTTGGCGCCACGAGTGGCAGCAGCCGGCATTCCAGGTGTACGCCGGCCTTTTGTTCGGACTTCCACTGGCGGTGACCTCTTTCAATCGGTACTCGCGCCTGGTCGAGGCCCTCGGGCGCCGCCTCGTGCTGACATTGGTCTCCCTCTACTTCGACGACGCCACAGTGGGAGACTGGGCCTCCTCGAAGGGCTCGGGTCAGTGGGCATTCGGGCAGCTCAACACGTTGTTGGGCACCCCCTTTGCTGACTCCAAGAGGCAGCCCATGTCACATCGCGGGGATTTCCTGGGCCTCTCGCACGACATGTCTCGGGCTCTCTCCGATGGGGTCGTGCACTTTTGGCCTCGCGACAGGATCGTGCAGAAGGTCACCACCATGCTGGCCGAGGCGGGGTCGAGTTCTTGCTTGCACCCAGGTCAGGCCGCCAAACTCTACGGGATCCTCAACTTCTTCGAGCAAGGGGTTTATGGCAAAGTCGGGGCAGGGAGCCTCTGGGCCATTAAAGAGCGGCAGTACGAGGCGACCACGCAGATTACGCCCGACCTTCTGGACAACTTCAGGTACATTCGAGCCATCATTCGAGCCAAGCCTCAAAGACAACTGCCCGTGTTGCCGCTACCATGCAAGCGCTTTGTGTGTGCCTCAGACGCGGCTGAGGAGCCAGACACTGGCGGTACCGGTGGCTTCCTCGTCGTCTGGTTCAGCGGGTCGCGGCAGACCCGTGAGGGCTTTGTAGCCGATATCCACCCCTGGTGGTATTCGGTGTGGCAGTCCGCCGAGGTACACATCGCGCAGCTGGAAATTTCTATGGTGGTGGCATACGCATTGCTAGGGCGCCCGGAGCATTTTCGGAATCGCCGCGGCATCTGGTTCCTCGACAACGTCGCCTCGTTGATGGCCCTAGTAAAAGGACGGTCCTCTTCCAGAGACCTCGAGAGCTTCGCTCATATGGTGCATATGCTGCTACTTGGGCTCAACACCCAGATGTGGTTCGAGTACATTCCGTCAAAGTCGAATTGGGCTGATGCCATTTCCAGACTAGGGCGGGACGATCCCTGGCATGTCAGCCAGTCTTTTTCAACTTCGGTTATCCGCTTCCCACGTGTTGTTTGGGGGTTGCCGCCGTCCGCTTTGCTCACACTGGCGAGCTTTCGCTAATGCTTTGGGACTAGTGCCGTGGGTGTTCATGCCCGAGAATCGGGCTCGGGTTAGCTGAGTGACAGCTAGCCCGGGGTTACGATCTATCTGGTGGAACCGGATAGATTCCCAAAGCAACTCCTCGAGAAGAGGTTGTGTGACAAAGCGAGTTCGGAGCGGATAAGAAAAGGTCCGAAGTCGAATAACTCTAAGCATGCTCTGCAATGTGAATACATATCTCATGATAAGATACATATATATATATATATGCACATGTGTGTATATATATATATACGTATGTTTTCCCTGACTTGAGATGTCCCACATAATTCAAGAGAGACGACATCCTCAGAGGATATCGAAAAAGCATTGTGCGGCTAAGGACCGACAGCTTGCACGCGATGCAGAAGGACCCTCACCTTTCCCTGATAGCAAGCTTTCCGGTTGAAGATGTGGGGCCTAGAGGCTGGTGCATTTGGGGTTGAGGTGCGGCCAGAGTTCTAGAATATACGCTTGTCCGCTATGGACGTGCTATAGTTGCCTCAGCTTTGTGCACTTTTTGCGAAAGGCTTTCAGGCTGGCTTACTCTGTTACGCAAAGAAGAGTTACCAACCCCTCAGTAGCGGCATTGCAGCACAAGCCCCACAAGTAAGGAGGATGAGTTCACTGATCAAGGAAACCCTACATGGGTTTTTAGGCGCTTCCCCGCTTTCCTTTGGGAGGAAGCCGAACAGCTTCGCTCAGAGCTTCGCTTGCGCACGGCTGGTCGGGCCCTTAGTAGCAGCTTTTGAACCCTGAAACCCCGCAGATCGGTGTGAGTGATGAGGTATGATTCGGTATGAACACTGTGCGACTTCGTAGTCTTGCTCGGCTCGGTCGTGCTAGCCAGTAATCTCGTATCTTTTCCTGTCCAGCTCTGCCATGTTCGTTTTGCTTCTGGTGTCATCCCTTGTATGGAGCTGTCTTCATGTTAGCCCTTTCTGCCATGTATAGAGAATATAGGTACTGGTGTAACGGCCGGGCTCAAAGCCCATAGTCCAATGCGTTGTGGCAGGCACGCACATTGCTGAGTACTTGGCAGGAACCAAAAGGGCCGCAAAGCTGTGCTATCTGTTGCGAACTTCAAATATCGTGAATTTGCAAGTTGAATTTGTTCTGAGTCGCTTACGGTCATGTCGGTGCGTTCCTCATAGTAGATTCCTGCGCGGACGGGCGATACTGAGGAAGGGATGCATGGTCAGAAACCAGCTAATGTTTGCCTAGGGTTGTCATGTGACTGGGAGGCCAGCAGGACCACGCCCGAACAGAGGAGGCCGGGTACTGAGAAAGAGACGCATTCTAAAGCTTCTTGGAAGAGTCACACGGGGCATGTGTGGAGTTCCCACTTGGAGGCTGTGGATCCCGGTGTGAAATTCCCAGGGTCGGCTAGGGGGTCGAGGATTCCAACTCGAGCCTGATAGACCAATTTGGGTCACGGTGGACAAGTAGGCGCGCTTCCGCTTACGTGTGCGTGCCTTCAGTGTGTTTCATTCCCAGCATCTGGAATCGTGGGACTGTCTGGGCACATGGCAAACAAAGGGCTTTTTTGGTATGGTATCTTGAATGAAGTTCGGGATGGGAGCTCTTTGTGTATCAGCCTTGAATCATTGAACCCCAAACCCAGACCCCAAAACCCAAAACCGGTATTGAAGATGTGAAGCTGTTAGTATTCGTGTTAGTATTCGTCTCAAATATTAGTATCAACTATTCGTATTGGTATTGTTTAGTCAGGTGCCCCAGCCGAAACAGCCATGACCCTCCTTCTGGCCCTCTCTTCCTTGTGCCTGGCAGCGGGCAAACCTCCTCATGTGCTCCTCATCGTGGCAGATGACTACGGTTGGGGCAACTTGGGTGTCCATCGCCAGAATGCTGGAGATTCTTTGGGAGAGCTCCAGGGAAAGTTGGAGGTTCACACGCCCACTCTCGACAGGCTCATCGACGAAGGAATCTTGTTGGACCGCCACTACGCTTTTCATGTGTGCTCCCCCAGCCGTTCCTCCTTGCAGTCGGGGCGCCTTCCGGTGCACGTGAACAAAGAAATGAAGGATCTTGACTTGCAGCTAGTGAATCCGAAAGACCCAGTGAGCGGCTTTGCAGGGATCCCGCGGAATATGACCTGCATCGCGGAAAAGTTGCTCGAGGCTGGGTACCGCACCCACCTGGTCGGGAAGTGGGATGTCGGCATTGCGACGCCGCAGCACTCACCAAAAGGGCGGGGATATGAGACTTGGTACGGCTTCTACGGTCACGCCAACGACTACTGGCACGCGACAATAGGATTGACTTCAGCAGAGGGATCTGTTGACGTGTGCTTGAACCAAATGAGAGACTTGTCCATGCACAATTCGAGCTACTGCGGTCCCGCTCTCGACGACACTTCCTTGTCGGCCTTGTGCGAAAGCGACGACGACAAGGAGTCGGAACCGTCATGTTACGAAGAGCATCGTTTCAAAGAGAGGGTTCTGGAGATCATCCGGTTCCATGACACAGAAAAGCCCTTGTTCCTTTTGTATGCATTCCATTTGCTTCACACTCCTCTGCAAGTGCCGCAGATGTGGCTGCGACGAATCGATGACCTCGTTAAAGTTGCAGGTGGCCATCCGATTGATTCCAAAAATCGACGACAGTATGCTGCCATGACTCTTTACATGGATGCCGCAATAGGTGAAGCAGTTGAAGCATTAAAGGAAAAGAAGATGTATGAGAACACGTTGATCATTTTCGTTTCCGACAACGGCGGTCCGATCTATGAGCCCGGTGGTGCCTCAAACCATCCTCTGCGAGGAGGAAAACGATCCGTTTTTGAAGGAGGTCTCCGAACGAATGCCTTTGTCTCAGGCGGCTTCGTGCCAGAATCTCGACGTGGCACGAAGTTTGAAGGCGTCATCAGCATTGCGGACTGGTACGGAACGCTTGCAGAGCTCGCCGGCGTGGACATCAAGGATAAAAAAGCCGAGGCGGCCAACTGGTGGCTGCGGGACAAGGGCCTCCCCCTGCTGTTTCCGGTAGACAGCGTGCCTCAGTGGCAACACATCCTTCAGAACCGCAACGGCAGAGCCGATCCTCTTCAGTTGGCCCATGGTGCCCTGCTGATGTGGCCATACAAATTGATCACTGGAAAGATCTACTACGGTGGCTGGACAGGGCCCGTCTATCCGAACTGCTCCACTTTGCAAAGCGTTCGAGGTCAACGGGGACCACTGCCCGTGTCGTTTAAGTCAGATGCTCCTACATTCTTGCCCGAGCTCTCCGACGACGAATTGGACGTGCAACTCTGGGCTGTTGATTGCGGTGAGGGTTGCCTTTTCAATGTGAGGGATGATCCGACGGAGCATGTGGATTTGGCTAGAGACCCTGACTACGCATCCCTTTTTTGGAACATGCATGAGACGCTTGAGCTCATGAACAAAGACATCTTCGAACCAGACCGCGGAGCGGCGACGGTGGAAGCTTGTATGGTGGCCATCGAGCACGGGCGAACCCTCGGCCCCTTCGTAGACATCGGCGAGTTCTACAGCTCTACACCTGCAAGGAGCCCAGATCAGCAAGCTGAAGATGCGGTGCTGAGTTCCACACTGCGCATCATGAACCTGGACGAGAACAAGCTACAGTTTCTCAATGAGCTGATGGAGGAGGCGAAGCACGCTCCGCATGAGTATGACAAGTGCCTGGTGCCGATGTTTCGGGACGTAGAGCAGTAGGCTCGTGTATGGCCATCGCATACCGGCTCACAATGCTTCTCTTCGTGGGACAGGACGCTTAGTTCCCTAGGCTGCAAATCGTACAACTAAGCAGTCTTTCTGTTCACCTGCATGTCGTGACAGAAGTTTTCCCGTACTGCAGGTTTCGCTTGTCCCCAGCACGTAAACTAGGCCACCCGTACTTGGTTGATTTGGTTCTTCAGCTAGGCGGGTGGGTGTGGGACCACGGCGGAGCCTGGATTTTGATAGTCGAGGCTTTCATGTCGCGTCTCACCCTAGGTGGCAATGGCCCTGCCGTTTCGTGCGAGTGCAAACGCGTGACGCCAGTCCCGTGTGACTGGCTGTCCTCCGTCTGGACCTCTGTTGCTCAGACACCTCGCCCGGACTTGTCCCAGTTGTGAGAGTCGAACCCGCTCGCCTGAACGGGAAGGAAGAGCTAGTTTCTTTAGCAGGGTCTAGTCTTATTCCGGGATCGTTGCTGCAGCTCTTCCTCGGCTCATGTTTCACACAGGCGACCTACCACGTGCCTCGCCTGGAGTGTCCGAGTGTGAGCACCGAAACTGATCCCACACACCCCTTTTAAGCCGACAGCAAGTTCACAGAGTATTCTTATTTCGGTTTCACCCCTTTTACGTCTGTCCACTCCGCGACGAACAACCCGAAATTCTGAAACCCAGAATCCGAAACCAACAGCCCTACACCCCCTTAACCTTTTGCAGCTCCCCGTGCCAGGCGTCTCCCAGTGAGTGCTTTTGACCCCTTCCCCAANNCCCCCCCCCCCCCCCCCCCAACCTGCGCTCGTTTCGCCTCCCAGGTGTCCCGGCTGAAAGCCGAGCTCACGAGGGCCAAGGCCGAAGGGTTCTTCGGGCTGGAGCCCCCTCTCCACCCCCCTTGCCTTCTCAAAATAGTCAGAAAGCCTAACAGTCTACAGCATAACTATAGTATATTGTAGTTATATAAGTTATATTTTCTTGTCCAGCACAGAAAACACCCACCTTGATTCCAAAGATTGCTTTCTAGCTTTAAACCTAGAGAGACATAACACATAAATCAAATCACTAGCAAGCCCAAACCCGGAACCCGGACCCTTTCTAGCCCATCCCGACTGCAGGCAGAGGTCAAGAGCCTCAAAGACGAGCTGAAGCAAAGAGAGCCCAGAGCCGAGTCCTGTTTCTACGGCTTTCAGGGGGGAGGGGGGGGGGTTGGTAGAGGATTTGAGTTCGGGTGTTAAGGAAGCTAGCGTAAGTTAGCATCATGGGGAAGTACAGCACAACAGATTCCATGGTGTCTGTTTTGGGCAACTTGACCGTCCGTCAGAAGGGTTCGCCGGCTTTGGCCAGGATTTGCTGGAAGCGGTTCCTTGACTGGATTTTGCTGTTCCTTGCTGCTTCGCTTCCAGTCTCTGCCAACGTCGATCTTTGTCTCCCCCTGTCCGGTGGCAGAGGCATGTTCCCTTCTGCACGTTTAGGACTCCTCCTTTTCTCCCCTGTATGCCTTCCCGCACACCCTGAAAGACTGCGCCCCTATGTCCTGTGCCATACATACACTATGCACGTATATTTTTTCAAAATCGACACATATACGATACATATATATATATGTCTATGCTTACGTATATGTATATGTATATATGTATGTATGTATGTATGTATGTATGTCTGTCTGTCTGTGTGTATGTATGTATGTATGTATATATATATATAGAGATACATGTGTGGGTGTGTATGTGTGTGTGTGTGCGCGTGTGTGTGTGTGTGTGTGGGTGTGTGCGTGCGTGCGTGCGTGCGTGTGTGCGTCTGTGCGCGTGTCTGTATGTCTGTATGTCTGTATGTCCGTCTGTCCGTCTGTCTGTCTGTCTGTCCGTCCGTCCGTCCGTCTGTGTATGTGTGTGTGTATGTATGTATGTATGTAAATATGCAAGTATGTAAGGTAAGCAAGTCAGTATGTAAAAGATGTGGATGTATGTGTATACAAATGCATGCATATCAATACACATATGATTTTACAAATAAGTAGAGACGTAAATATGTGTATCTATATATATATATGTATATTTTTTATGTATGTATGTGTATGTGTATGTGTATGTGTATGTGTATGTGTATGTGTATGTGTATGTGTATGTGTATGTGTATGTGTATATGTATATGTAATATGTAATATGTAATATGTAATATGTTTATGTTTATGTTTATGAGTTTATGTATATGTATATGTACATGTACATGTATATGTATATGTATGTGTGTGTATATATATATATGTTTATGTATATGTATATATGTATTGATCTTATGCATATGTACATCTCTCTTTCTCTGTCCAAGGGCACCATCTTTTTCTTCTGCTTGTCAAGGCTGGCGCAGAAGCGACGAGGCGAGAAGGAGGCCGCTGAGCTGCGAGCGGAGCGGCAGAAGGCCCCGGAAAAAAAAACCAGGGCTTCGGGTTTAGGGTTTAGGCGGCTTCCGGGGGAAGGGGGGGGGGTTTTTGTTTATGGGTTTTGGGATGTTTTTGGTTTCGGGGCTTAGGCGGTCTGCAGGTCTTAGATTTCCGTGAAGGGTCCTTTCATGCTCATGATGAGGCAATGCTTTAATGTCGATGTTTTGCTGGATCCCTTGTGGATTGATGTACTGCTTCCCCAGCTCCCAGACATCACACGCAGTGTTTGGGAAGATTGGGGTGTAGTGGTGACCCTCACTGTGCTTCTTGAGTCGTGGCGTAGTCACTTACTCGGGTTTGCTGGGCTGTAGTAAGCTCCCGTTTCTTTCCTGTGGATGCACGGGTCATCGATGAGGCGGGCAACTTGGAGGCACTTCAGAGACCCGCTACAGGTGATTGGATGGATGGATGGAGGGAGGGAGGGAGGGAGGGAGGGACGTATGGACGTATGTACGCATGAATGTATGTAAGTCTGCGAGTGTGCATTTATATGTATGTGTGTATGTTTTTGCATAGATGGATAGATGGATGGACGGATGGATGGATGTGTGTGTGTGTGCGCGTGTCCGTGCATGTGCGCTTGCGTGTGCACATGCAGGTGTAAAAGCATGCATTTTCATATACAAGCGCAAAACACAGGTATGTGTGTCGGCATATGTATGCGGGGTTGGATATGCAGGCACCCATGCAAGCACATGCAAATGTCTAAGTATGTGCACGGGTATTTGCATATGTGGTTGTATAAAACCGTTCCGAATCCCTTATCCCCAAACTGGGTTCTCGTTTTTTTCTCCTTAGCGGTTTACAAGGTACCAAGGATTATCACGCATGACAAGTACGGGGTACAGGCTTGGCTCCTGGTGGCTTGCAACCCCTCTACAAGTACGTACCCCAAGATGTCCATAGGTCTTACGAACAGGTTACCAAAAACTTGAACTTCGTAACATTGATAGCTGCCACGAGTACGGGATGGCTCACGTCCATCAAACATGCACCTACTCGAAAACAAAGTTATCGTGTTTTTGTTATCGCTTCGTTATCGTTTTGGACACTCAACTTGCCTCGGATGTTGAAGATCGCATGTAGCAAGTCTCCAAGCTTCACATTGCACATGACATAGCAATGGTAGGAGCAGTAGCAAGAGCAGTGGGAGCAGTAGCAGCCGGAGCCGTAGATCGGTAGAAGTAGCTTTAGCAGTATATAGGAGAGGGAGCATTACAAACACAAAAAATTAGTCGTATGAGTAGTACTAGCATAGCCACACTCTCCCACTGCCAACATGCAGACAGACCGGGGCATGCACAGAAACTCACCATAGTACGAACATAGATACTATGGACCCTAGCATGCCGACGGAATGCCGCGGAACTAGCTGCTGACTGGATTCTTCTTAAAACGTGGTATCCACGGGCAGAAACTGCAGGGATCAGAGTTGGTCTACTGACTTGTGCGAAGGCGGATCGTCTCCAGGCGCAGCTGAAGAAGCTGGAAGAGGATGGGAAGACCCAAAACCCAAGAGCCGTGCTCATAGTGCAGTCTGGCGATGACGATCATGGCGGCGATGCAAGGGTCGAGTTCGCAACTAAGGGGTCTTAGAGCTTGTGAAACTTGGGTTTGGGGGTCTGGGCTGGAGCTTTTGTTTCGAAGGCTGCTTCTGCCAGTTCAGTTGTTCGAATTAAGCGACCTTCACAGATTGAACTTCTCCGTTCAGGAGAAGCGAACTCTCGCCGCTCGGATAGGGCGCAGTGGCCCTTCTGTCGAGAGGCGCCCATTGCAATCTGCGACCAATCCCTCCGGATTACAGTTATTTGCGTGTTCGCAAGGCTCTCCGAGAACATAGACTTAGACCGTGGACCAACTTCACAAGCTAAATCCTAATTTAACCCGCAAGTCTAGAAGTCTACCAAAGCAACCCCAGCAGCCATGCTGGGTCGGAAAAGCCAAGCAAAGCTGAAGCGATGGAGTTCCAGAAATCTGGGAGGTCCCGACCGGTCTCGCGGACTCCCTCAGCGGAGAGGGCCCGCCCGCCCTCGAGGCACAGCTCCTCTGGAAGAAGTTGTTGTTTTGCATGAAGCCTTGGCCAAGGCCTGGAAGACTCTGACTGAAAAGGGTTCTGTGAAGGTTTTCGAGGCTGTTTGCGCACTATCTGGGGTGGCTCCACTTCCTCCTTCCTTTCTCTATCTCCAGCATGCAAGAGTACCAGGACAAGACGAGACTGTGCTCGAAGTGACTTGCAACCCCCGTTGTCTAGACGTTCCCCGCCGTGCCACTGTCTCCCAGAGCATCGGTCGACTTGTGAGCGCTTTCCCGGGAGCTTCGCAGAGGCCCCTCTCGGGTTCCAGACCGGCTTCGCGACCGCCCCCAAGGCGGGGGGACGCGCTTTCGGACTTTCGACCAGCTGCATCCGGCCCAGAAGTTGAAAACAGAGAAAACATCACAGTCAAACCCATAAAGAAAGGCAGGCATAAGACCCTCTAAAGCCCCAAAGCGCCCCTGCTAAAACCCCCGTTATGCCTCCGGTTGCGACGAAGTCTTCCGAGCCTGCGAGTTTCACTATCGTAGTCCGAAAGCGCATTGAGACCTCCTTTGGATCCTCCGAGTGGCGAGGGCGCAAACACCTCACCATCAAACATCCCCAAAGACCCCCAGAAGACAACGGGCGGGGGGGTGGGGGGCGGAGGCCCGCGAGCCGAGCTTCTTCGGCTGCTTCCTCCCGGGAGTTTGGGCACTCAGAGCCGAAGTCGGGCAAGTTTCCTGAAAGGAGCAGAGATCTCAAAGCCTCGGTGACGCGGGGTTTGGGGTTTAGTGAGTTTAGTGGGGGTCAGGGGATTAGAGCAAGTCAGGGTTGAGGATGGTTTCGGTCCGTCGTGCTTTTTCTTGGTAGCTTAGAAGAGACTTCTTGGAGGGTCTAGCAGCTTGCAGGTTTTTGGGTTGCCGGGTTTCGGGTTATGTAAGGGGTTTCACAGGGCTTGCTACTTCATGCTGGTGGATGGGTCGTAACTCCCCGATGCCCCGCTTCGGTCCAAGCACCTTGATGAGAAAGGCTTGCTTCCCTGAAACGTAACCTTCGGTCCAAGACACCTCGATGAGAAAGGCTTGCTGTCCTGAAACATAACCTGTTGGGGATGGAAGGGTTTCTGGATCATGAAGCCAGAGATGGCAGGCTTATCGGGAGTCGTTTTGCAGGCTCTGTCTAAAGTGACATGTTACCTCCCCTGTGAGTCCTCGAGACGCACCATGCTGGAGCCACAAACATGCATCCCAAAGTTAAAGGCTCCCAGCCTCATGGAGCTCTCTCAACCCACCCCGACCCCTTCGCCGAGGCGCACTCCGTCGCCAAGCTCCTTCCTCCATAGGGGCAGGCAAGGTTTTGGGAGATCCAAAGGTCCCCCCAAAAATCGTAAACTTAGGTCCCCTAGGATCTCGGGGCTTGGAGCCGAAATACGCGCGCTACCTTAGACCTTTCATGGACTGATGGACTCATGCTCTCGATTCGGGAAGTCTTTCTGGCGTGTAGGCTGAAGAGGGGCAGCCCCCCCCCCCCCATTTAGGCTCAGGAATCCGCAGGGACAGTACCAGCCTTCTCTTAACCAGCGTTTTCTTAATGTGGCTCTTTGGCACTATTTATCCGTGGTGCTGAGCATCAGCAATGTCAGTATGGAGTGTGGTAGCTGTAGCAATTGCCCCTATTAGTACTAGTGTGTGGAACAGTGATTAGTGTTTCGCCCCGCCGATTCTACGCAACGCCGTGGGCCCGTAGCATGCGTAAGTTAGGGGGCCGACATGTAGAAACTGCTCGCCGGCAGGCGGGGGGGTGGGTGCAGATGTGATACAACAAGCTGGATATGTTCTTTCGTTGGTGTGGAGGCGGTAAGACGTGGGATTTGCATGCAGCTGTTCTGTAGGCCGGCATCTGGACAGCCACGGCGGGAAGACTCGGCGGGCAGAAGGCCCCTCTCATTTTAGGCTTGTCGACTTCTTCCTGTGAGTCCCTGGTTTGGCTTGGCAAGTTGGAGGTCACGGCCGAGGTTTTGGGATGCCAGTGGTGCGGACATCTCACTGCATGCATCCAGATCATGCCCACCTAGTCGTCTGTGGTGTGCAGGAGGACGAGCCAGTTCAAAGGGATAGCAGAGTCCAAAATTTAGCGTCCCTGGCAACATGCTCCGGACTGCCGGGTCTCTGTGGCGCTCGAGCTCAAGCTAGGGGAGACACTGGCAGACACGATAGTTCCAGTCTGATACCACAGGATGCAACGTTGTCAGGATTAATTGTAGCACTCCAGGCGGCAGGCATGGACGGATTCGTGGTGACCACACCAACAGTGTGTTTGTTTTCGCTGGCGGGGAGAGGGGGGGGGCCCAGTGCAGTTTGTTTAAGCCGCAATGGCAGAGCAAGGCGGCAGCCAGCCTGACCCGGCTGTTGTGGCACAAGCTCTTCAGGGGGAGATCGGGGAGGAGATCTTGGTGGATGGCAACCGAAGCCTGGATGAGATCATGCGATGGCGCCGGAACGCACCCTTGCTCTACGACCTCTTCCTGGAGTTTGGTCTGCAGGGCCCCGCCCTTACAGTGCAGTGGCTTGGGGACGATGAGGACGAGGAGTGCACGCGTCTGGCCTTCGGCACACAGGCCGGTGACTCGAAGGCCCAGGTGGTCGTCGCCGAGCTGACGTGTGTGGCCGACACGGATTTCACCACCGATCCATGGAAGAGCTGGGGCCTGGAGGGCTTGCGGGACTCCTGCGGCTTCGGCGCGAGGCCCTTGAGTGGGGAAGGGGCGCCCCTCCGGTTCCTGTGCTCCTTGGACCACGACTTAGGCGACGTGAATCGCCTCGTGGGCTGCCCCAAAAAGCCAAGCCTTCTGGCGGCCAAGGGCTCTTCGGGAGCCGTGACCCTCTTTGACTACAAGAGGGAAGAAGGAATGAAGGTGGGGAGCTTTCAATCGAGCGAGGCAGTCGAGGGCTTCGCCGTGGCCTGGAGTCCATTGACTTCCTCCTGGCTGGCAACTGGTGGCCATGACGGCTCCCTGTCCTTATGGGATACCGTCGCCTCACCGTCGCCGTCCGCCCCTTTGTTCGCTAGCCAGGCACACGATGGTCCTCTTAATGACCTGAGCTTCTCGAGGCATGGGCCGCAGTTGACCACGGTAGGGGAGGACGGTGGCATTGCCATTTGGGACGTGCGCGAGGCTTTCTCGAAGTCGCAGCTGACGACTGCGGGGGAGTGCTTGACGGTGGACTGGAGCCCCAGCGACCAAAACTTCTTGGCCACGGGCGGAAAGGAGAAGACGGTCCAGGTCTGGGACCTGAGGTCTTTCAAGGCTCCTTTGAAGACGCTTCTTGGGCACCAGGGGGAGGTGCTGCAGGTCCGCTGGTGCCCTGCCGTGGGGGCTCAGTTCGCGCAGATCTCTGCTAGCAGCTTTCTGAGCACTTGCTCCCAGGACGGCGACGCCATCTTGTGGAACCTGGAGGAAACCGAAAAGGGGGATCCGGAAGACGAAGACGACCGGCCACCAGAGGTGTGCTTCGTTCACAGTGGGCACCGACAAGGTGTGCAGGACTTTGACTGGAGTTCCACGGAGGACCTCCTGATGTGTTCGGTGGGGGAGGACTGCGCCCTGCAGATCTGGCAGCCGTCGCTGTCCGTCTTGGAGGAAGAGGAAGCAGAAGCGGCGGAGACGGAGGGTGAGAGGGCCGCAAAGCGCAGTCGCGTGGACTGATCGTCTGCGGCATGCCTCCTTTAAACTTTGCACAAGCTTGCAGCCGTTTCGAAAACGAGCGAGCTTCTTTCGCCGCACCCGTCATCCTTTTTGGGCATGATTCCGATGCGGGACATCTCTTCGCTGTGTGACGTCGTACTCTGTACTCTGAGATGTCGCCTGACCCGGCAGGTCTACGGCCCTCAACAGCTCGGGATCGCCTGGGTTCCGTCGTGAAGAAGGACAGAGGGGCACGAGGCTTCAGGGTATCTTGGATTCTGCTGAGACCTTCATGCAACACGGCGGTTTGTGCCGTTTTATGGTCCTGCTGGCGGAGTCCTTGTTGTTGTGCTGGTTCCAGCAGCTAGCAGCTAGCGTGACTTGCTGAAGACCAGGATGATGCATTATGTTAATCAGGCTGCTGGTCCTCTAGACGTGGAGATTGACAGACTTCGCTGCCAACTGCAAGGCTTGATTCGTCGCTGCCTTGCGGTATCCACGCTGCGAGAGTCGAATCCCTTCGTCGAGACCCCCGCAATGCAAGCAAAGCCACCGGAGAGCGCTCCGCAAAATCCACATATTGTGCAGCAACACTCACTGGTATTATGTGCATCCATTGCGCATTTTGTTGCCCGCGGAGGAGGCCGCGGCTACTCCCCGGGACCCTCGGTGTCGCCCTATCGGCACGGGCCCTGCCCTGGACTATTCCGGAAATCTCTATGAGGGGGCTTGGGGACCTTCGGGTTTCAGGGTTTGGCGTTTGGTGAGGATGTAGGAGTGGAGCCGATGTGCCGGCGATTCTTCCCCATTTTCTCCTGCTTGGAAGTCTTTCAAACTCCTTCTTCGAGCTCCCGCAGTTTTCGCAGTGCGTTGTAAGAGTGAGGCCAATGACAGGCGCTAATCCAAGAGCGGCATTCGTAAAGAAGCCCCTCACTACTAGGCACCCCGCACCAGACCAGGGCAGTATCGTGTGTGGATGCAGACAAGTCTTGGACTTGCCTTGTGTGTTGACTGGTTGAGCCGTGAAAATTGCTGGAGCTACTGCATTGGATGAAACCGGTTAAGGGTTTAGGGTTACTGCAGCGAGACTTGAAAGGGTGACTGTTTTGTGACTTCGTTTGATGCAGGATTGTGTGAAATCACGCGGTGCTGTTTCCCAGCATTTGCCAGCTGATCAGCAGAGTCTGGGCTCAAAAACGGGTTACTGCAGCAGTGCTTCAGTCTTGTGCGGGCAATGGAGACTTTCGAGTCCGTGTGGCTGCCACGCATCCTCCGAATGCTCAGCGGCCCTGCAGCTTTGAAGGCCTTGCGCAGCTGCAGGAGTCTCAAGAGGTCTGGGTCCTTGTGGGATACAATTATATTTACATTTTTGCTGTAATACACCGTTAGTAAGGATTAAAACAGATCATTTTTCATATGCCCCAACATGGAACCAGAGGTTGTGGCCCCAATGCCTGCAGGCAGGCGAGGGCTTCTGGATCCTGGAAGAGCTGGAGACGGTCACCTTGGAGAAGCTCCTTGAGCGGGACGCTGATCTTTGCAACTGCTTCCTTTGGGCCAGGAGCGACATGAAAAACCACAAGATATCGTACACTTCCTTTAAAGGGAAAGTTGAGATCTACACAAATATGCCAACCAGGGAGTCACAGAAAGCAGATTCTCACTTGGAGCAGGAGTCCAAGCCTGAGCTCATAGTCCGGAGCTTGTCAGAGAGTTTCGCAGCCATGAACGGAAACGAGAGCTTAGAGTTGACCAGGCGCAGACTTGCGTTTCCACGGACGATGTCTCAAAAGCTGCCGGAGCTTTTCGCTGGTGCTTTGACAGTAGTAGGGGAGGAGTCGCCAGCACTCCTGGCCATGGGCCTTTGCGGGTGGGAGGTTTCCAAGACCTCTGAGAAATCACCGACAGATGGCCGCTGGTTGCACTTCTGCTTTCACCGTCCGAAGCCAAAAGTTCCTCTGGCGATCTTCCATTTGAGTGGCGAGTTTGTCTTGCCCGGAGGGGACGGCATAGGAGAGGTTTGCCTTGGCTACGTTAGCACGGACTTGGAGTACGTGGTGTCCATGCGCGAGTTCAGCGAATATCCCGCCTCCAGGCACTTAGCCTCCAAAGTTATCACAAAATGGGAGGAAGGGCAAGGCCTACTGCACAGTTGGGGTTACCTGCCGGCTTCTTGGTTCGATGGTCGACTCGAGTCCATGGGACTTCCACAGCACACGCCGCAAACGCTCAGCGACGAAGGCCGGATTTCCGAATTCCGAACACTGCTTTGTTTATATAAAGGCGTTTGTCTCGATTTTTCTGGATATTAACGGGGTCATGTAGACATCATCGTACAGCAGGCACGAAGATTAACGAATCCTGGCAAAAATAACAACACCTGACGGCTGGGACGTTGAGAGAACCACGATGTACATGGATGAGAATCGGTGCGTCATGGGCTGCCCATTCCTTAAGGCAATCTACCAGGATGCCAAGCAATTGCTTGAGTCTTGTGCTTGAGATTCTAGGTAATGATTAATGACAAGTAGCAACGGTCTCGTCTAGCGGTCCCTCTGTGCGTTTTCTGTGCATTGGCCTAGTCATGCATAGGATGCCGCACAAATGGGCAGTGTACGGTGGGAGGTCTGAAAGACGCAAAATGCTTTGTGCGTGCGTGTTGCCTTTCCCGCACTGCTCAATCCACTCCGTCTTGGCGCGTTTTTTCATGGGTTGTCTGAAGCGTAACCGACCACAATCCCAGGCTGCGAAAGGTAGAAGCCCCGACGGCCGACATGGCCTCCAGCTCTGACCCAGGTAGCCTCGATTGCCTTAATCCTCAAACCCTAAGCCCCGAAACCCTACTAACCTACATCTTTCAGCCTTGAACTCTGTTTGTCACAGGCCTCCGGGGGTTCCCGCTTTCAGCCGTTCCCCTTTGTTTCTTAACAGTTAACCATCATCCCCAAACCCATGCGGGCTTGTCCTAGCTAGGTGTGATGCAAAAGAACCCTAGGAAAAAATGCGAGATGGACAAAAGCCCTGAACCCCAAAAAGCAGTGCTGCCAGCAGCTTGCTGACCTTCTCTTTTTTAGGCGGCCGGCGGGCCCAGGAAGCCGCAGCCGCGAGCGCACGCCGTCCCCAGGGTCTGTCGCCCGCAAATGATGCCGGGTAATATGTTGAGTTAAATTCGAATATGTTCTAATGTTAGTTAAACTGTTTCTCGGATAATTGCAGGACTCCTCGTGTACTAGACCGGGGAATCCGGAAAATCCGGAGAACATAGGGATCCCGCATCCCGGTAGTTCAGGTTCGACACTAGGCCCCCTCCCCCCCAAACTCCTAGACTCCCCAGGTCTTGCCATTTTGCAGTTCCCAAGATCACCAAATTCAGTTAGAAAGTGGTCATGGATGGAATGCCCTGAAGATGCAGTCGTCGTACATGTAAGCAAACATTAACGCCGGCCGGTATGTTATATGTCGGTATGGAGGTATGTAGGTAGTGTGTATGTAGGCCGGTATGCAATCAAATTTCAGGCTTTCTCTGTAGTAGACATCTCATGACACTGGCAAGGTGAAGAGTGGCGGGTGTTTGCGGGACGTTTCTCACTCGTGACTGCCCTTTCGGTTACTGGCATCGCACTCCGTGGCTTGGGCTCAATGCATTCTCAAACGGATTCGCAATGCAAGCCGCATCAGCGTTCTTGGCATGAGGAGTGGATGAGTGCGTAATGTGCAAAACATTCAAAGCCCTAAATCCTAAACCCTGAACCCTGAACCCTAAACCCTCACTTAATTTGTAGCTGCGTTGGACGCCATTTTGGCTGAGTTTCTGGAAGAATTTGAACCATGTCAACTTAATTTATAGCAAGAATTTAGAGCATGTCAGCTCATTGTTTCCCGTGGTGTCTTTTCAAACTGCAACGGTGTCCGGTACCTGCTGCTGAGCTCTGTTCTAGTGTTAGAGTCACGGGTTTTTGTCCTTTGTGCGAGTGGGAGCCGAACTGCCTGTTGCAGCTGTACCTCTAGATATGCGACTAGTTGAGAACGGGGTAATTTCCCTGTTGAAGGGAATCCCAGGCTGTTTCTCTCTGGGTGCTACCAACGGTCTTAGACTGGTTTTGGTAGTGCCATGCCTGGGGGTCTCTTTGCGTGACGGGATTGTGTGGAGCCTTGCCTGCCTCGTGTGTGAAAGTCGAAACCCTCACTTCAAGCGTTTCGGTTTGTGGCGGAGCCCAGGTCCCAGCGCCGGGTGGCGCCGCCCACTGCTGTCAACGGCAGAGGTGGAGATAGGGGTGGGTTTAGGGTTTAGGGTTTGCAGGGTTTAGGGGTGCGGGTTTGGGACACCCCGTGCCCGAGTAGACCCCTGCAGCCCACGCGCAGTCCGGATTTGAAGACAATCGGCCCACCCCCCCCCCCCAGAAGGCAGAAGGACTCGAACACAAAAAGTTCCCTCGCCACCCCTGCCATGGGAAAGGTGCCTCAGCACTCTCCTTGAGGGAGCGCGGCCGAGCCCCCAATGGGTGGAGCAGCAAGTTTTGAAGTTACATCAGAGAGCGAAAGAACTTGCAGAAAGTCAGCTCCCCAAGTAAAAGGCGTTTTTTAGACTGACAGACCACCAGAAGAAGGAAGCCAACTTCGAGTTCTCACAGACTCATTCCGAAAGCCTTCATCAGCTAGGGGGCACAGTCGTCGCCCGCATGCTTTTGCATTCCATGCGTGAGCTGTGAGATGCTGTGAGTGTTCTCAAGCACCGTTAGTAACTTTAGTATGGGGCAGGTGCAACACTCATTACACCTTCATGCGCGAGCTAGGCATGAGACATGTTCAAGTGCCGTGACTATGCCGCATGCATCCGTGCCTTACAGGCACTACACACATGGTGAGACAAACGCGTGGTGCATTTCAACTTGCAGTTTCGGGGTTCGGGTTGACCTTCTTCTAAATCTGCAGCTTTGCGCGGACATGTTTGTTGAGCATTTGTTGCTCGAACGTGTGCTGCCGGAGTGCTTGTCCTACGTACCCGACTTTTTGCAACATGG